ASAMARMKSTTTTGACAAACCAGACAGAGCAAGGTGGCAAAAATGCTATTCCCGGATTCCCTCCCTCCCTCCACAGTAATCAGCAGGATGTAGTGTCCTGAGGTGCTGTGTTCTTTGAGCAAAGGTCCTGGAGTGAGATTTTAAACTGAGAAACCAACCAAACACAGACTTCCAGAGTGTGTGCTTAGAGCATCCTTGCCATAAATGCAGTCAGATGCAGGGAGTTTCCGTAGGTGATTTGGGAGAGAGAATATGGGGTTTGTCACTTAACTGAATCACCTGACTGTTGAGTTTGCATCAGAGTTCAGAGTGATCTAATGGACTGTGACACTCTGGCAGCTCAATAACATGAATACATTTAGAAATCTGTACGGAATATGTGCAGTCCAGCTGCCCGAAACAGAAATCTGCAGTGCTGCCCATCTTTGAAGTGAGATATCTGCAAAGAATTGTCTCTTTAAAATTTCCAGTTAACTGCTGCTCTGCTAAGCCAATAAGATTTTTCAGGTCCTAGTCAGATTCTAGCTGCTGCTATGTTGATGCTGCAATGTTTCAAACATTTACTCGATAGCTAAGGCTTGACTTGGTTTTTTCACTTAATTGTATTTACTGGGATAATGGTACAGTCAAAATGCATAAAGCTCTACTTAGAAACCTTAAGATGGCTGACAGACTCTATGTGATGGTGGGCCTTCTAATGTCTGATTGGCTTGCCTTCAGAAATCATATTAAGACTTAGAACACAATTGATTATCAGAGCTATTAATCTCTTGTTTTGGCTTTGTTTCAGTATTGAGGCCCGCAGAAGCTAAACAGTTCTGTTTGGTTAAAAATACGTTGGCTTGATCCATAGAGGATGTTAAAAACCCCTGAAAGATGTTTCTTTACCTTTCTTTCTGTTTTAAAGTCTGTACTTCATGTTATACTGTGTGATGGTCTAAGATGCTCTTTTTGCAGCTCCCCAACTACACGGTTAATAGAGGTCATATGTGCTTGAAATCATTAAACAGATGACTAAATGCAGAGAAATGGGAGAAGCAGACCAGCAAAAGAGCAGAGTCACACTGCTGATGGAGCTGCTATCCATGAAATTTTCCAGATAAACGAGAAAGAGCAGGTGGTACTTCAGTTAATGTAGTAGTCTYATGAGCAGTGGGACATGAAGGAAGCACCCCTGGGGAAGCAGTCACAAGCTCAGCATAGCTGCACTAGCAGCCCTTGACTCACCAGAGTGCTGGTCTTTAGGAGCACTTGAGGAATATTCTTCCTTGAGGGARAAAGTGGGGCCACCTGCAGGATCAGGATGGAGTAAGGAAACATGGTTGGGTTGGGTTTATCCTTCCCATTCACAGAGGGCACAAAAATAGTACCCAATCTATGGGTTCAGCCAGTGATTGGAAGTGGGAAAGGATCCCCCTTGGCGTGATACTGTTGCCTGMACTGTAACATTGAGCTTCCCCAGGGAACTGCATGAACTTTCTTCTTTTTTTTGCCATTTTGGATTATAGGTTTGTTCTCATTTTCTGTTGGAATTCTCAAGAGGTTTACACTCAAGCCCTGAGAACTGAAGGATGTGGGCCCTCACCATGGTGTGTTTGTAAAAAAATAGTGGGCGTACAAAAGGGTAAAAGCAAATCGCCCACAAAACCCATACCAACAAAACTACCTACCCTACTCACTCCCAGAAAGAATTMTTTTCTTTTGTTTTCCTTTCTCTTCCCAAGCTGGAATGTAGGTTAATCTTGCCCTTCACATCTGTTCCAGAAAATCTCTCAGTAATAGTTTCTGCCTAAGAACTTAATTTCTGRTATTGTCCCTGCCCCGATTGTCTGCTGCCTGCTGACATTTTTAGTTTAAGGTGTCTTTTTGGCTGCGACTCCACGTCAGACGTGACAGTGCCACAGGGCACCTTGTCTGACTGCAGTGTCTTGCCTAGGCTTGCTCACTGAAGTGATGTTTGGTGCTCTGCAAAAGAGTGTCCCTGGAAAGATACATTTGAGGTGACTTTGTCTCCATCTGTCCTAGGAAGCCATGATGGCTTTTTTTTCAGCTGATAAACTGGCAAAGGATCAGGACAGGAGAAAATCCAGAGGAAGGTCAGGAAAGTAGATTTCCCTCAAATTTGAAAGGCGAAAGAACACTGTGGTTTGCCCAAGTGTGGAAAAAGAGATCTTTGCTGAAGATGAGAGGAGGAGTGAGTATATAAAGGAGACCGTTCAGGAGCAAAGACCTTTTGTCAAGACACAAGGCAGGATGGGCTTGAGGCTCTCCCTGCACATGATGTTGTCAAAGGTGAGATTCCTGAAGGCACTACTTTGGGGGAGCTGCAGTCCTTGATCTGCTGTCAGTATCCTAGCTGCTCGAGTGATCTTACTATCTCCAATGGAGCAGAGCTGGAGGTGTGACCGCAGAGGTGCTTGCATTGTCTGTGTATTGGACTCAGCCACAATCCCTGACTCTTCACAGGGATCTTTTCTCTCTGTCCATTGTTGAAGGTAGAGATGGAGTTGCAGATAACTTCTGTGCTCTCTATTTTCTMACAGGCTCAGAAGCAACAGTTCCTGGCATTGCTTTCACGTTCCCATTTCCCACATTTCCACATTCKCAGCTCCCACTGCTGTGGGGAGGGAGCTTTTCCTCCTTGTCCAGAGGGCAGGGCTGCTCTTATTTCCAAGGGAGGCAAACTGCAGAGGGAAAGTAGAGTACCTGAAATAGAAAGAGAAGTAGAGAGCTGGGACTTTTTAGCCTGGAGCAGGGAGTGTTCAGGGGACCTTACAAATGAGTATAAGTAACTCTTGACAGGTGTGAAGAAGATGGACCTCTGAGCCTTCTCAGCACTGTTCAGTGGCAGGACAATATACAATGGACACAAAATACAAGGGGGCTTATTTAAGTACTAAACACCATGTTTTTTCCTGTGAGGATGGCCTAACACTGGAACAGGTTTTCCAGAGACATGGATTCTCTGACCTTGGAGATAGCTCAATAGCCTGACTGAACGGGTCCCGAGCTCTCTGCTGTAGCTGATCCTGCTTTGAGGGCGGGGGCTGAACTGGGCTGTCTGCAGAGGTCCCTTTCCACCTCAGCCATTTGTCATATGTGTACACTTTGTCAACACACTAGGCATAATTGGAAAAATGCTTTTCCCTAATCATTAGATCAGAAATGAGCCTTAAGAATATTAAGGAAAAACTGCTGGCCCATTGAGGATATGTGTTCCYGAAAGGCAAGATTCACCCAGTGCTAAGTTATTTGGGCCAAATTTGCCATGTCCTTTGCTGCAGTTCTGATTTACTAACAAGGTGAGGCAGCACTGCTTGATGCCTGAAGGTTGACATGTAGGGTGTTTTATTATTGTTGTAGACATAAAAAGGCATGAGCAACTCATGTACTGAGCAGATGTAGTAAGAAGTGAGGATTCTGTTATGTTTGTGTATGGCACAGAGACAGTAACACCACAGACTTTCTGACATTGGTTTTTAAAGGTTTATTACTGTATTTAGACCTGTCCTACCGATTCTTTTAATATTTTGAGAACTTGTAGCCTTATTTGTATTCCAGGTTGCCACATGACTATAACGTACACTGTTCTGCATCTGCAACTTGGAAAATTATTAGCATWTCTTACAGAGACTGATTGGACAAAAAGTTCTTGTTTGATAGGTATTCTATAAATGAATAAAATCTCCTAGTAAAATAAATCACTAGGGTCATSCTACATGCTCCTGAGAAACAACATACGTCTAAATCTAGAAATGTGAAAAATGTCTCACAGCAACTGTTTCCCTGTAATTCCTTTTTTTTCAGGCTGCTACACCTTCATCTTCTTCAGATAGATTGGATTTCTCCCCAGGCATGCCAGAGAAAACCCAGACTCCCACAGTGGCCCCAGACAATGCCACTGAAGATGGGATCGTGCTGCTTCCYACTAATACTGCACCATCTGAGCCCATGCAGCAGTTCACACCCTCTGCTACTGCTGCTAAAGCAGGTAATGTGTCAACACAGCTGGAGATCTGAGGGGTACCTGCAGGCTGGGCAGAGGGTGAGGATGGCTTTGCTACTCTCAGGTTTCCAACCCGTTGTTGGAAAGAGCTCACTCTTTCTCCAAGTGTTACATAATTCCAGTGTAAACCTGTAGACCTACAATAACACTGCAAACCCCTGACCCTTTAGCYGTTACTTCTGAGACAAAACTCTGACCAAGTCCACCAGTAATGGGAAAGTACAACTCAAGCAAATACAGCAAAGTAAAAAGAAAAGGTTAAGAGCCTGTTTTAAATTATTTAGTTGTTTGTTTTGTTTCAAACTTCATGAGCAATACCTGAGGCTTGTTGGAGTTTCAGAATAGTCTCCTCTAGCCATATTGTATGTGATTTTTGGTGTGACTCTTCAGAACACTGTTCCCTCTCAGAAACCTGTAGTTGCCAGATACCAYGCAGCAACATAGGTGGGATCTGAAAAAGCTCAGCCCTTACCAGGAGAAGCCTAGCCCTTAGCAGGGGAGAACATGGACTCCAATTCCTGGAAAAAGAAAGTCTTGCTCTAATTTCAAAAGTGTGGGGAAGCTTACCACACTTCCAGCTGTAGAGCAAAAGGTTTTATTTTGAAAAGGACAAAACTTCTAATCATCATGCCCTCTGTGTTAAGTTCTGCGTGTATGTTTGTGTATCTTCTTTCTCCTGAGTTTCTTGCCTCCCTGTGCACTCTGACAAAGGGCTAGAAGGGCAACAAGAAGCACAAATGTGTGTTTTTCTGCACTCCTGATGCACTGAGGGATATGGAGAGCTAAGCCCTTTGCTTCCTGGTAAAGTCTGGTTTGGGATATTCTTGACACTCTCTACCAAACTGCAACTTGCCAGCCAGGATAGCAATAGTAGGTAGCAGGAAGAGATGACCTACAAGAGTCCTCTCCAAGACAATGGATTATCATTATCATTGACTGTCGACTAGGCAGCTCCTCCTCCTTCACAGGAGGAGGTTGAAGAAGGCTCAAAAAGAAGTTTGGAAGAACAAATTGAAGGGAAGATTGTGATCAATTTCACAATAACTACTGCTATATACAAGGATTTCCTAAACTTGGTGTCTTCTCAGCCATACTGTCTTGGAAGTCTCAGTGACAGTCCCTCCTTCTCTCATTTGGCCATCACCCTCTTCTAACCATTTTATTGTCATCTCATATGGAGGTCCAAGTGCAAACCTTTGCTTCACAAGTGTCTARGGTGACTCCCACGATCAATTGTAAAGCCTTGGGTGAATTTAACTCACAGTGACAGGAAGTGTGCTGTCAGTGTCTTCATTTATTTTTAGGTRCATCACTGCTGAGTAGTCTCTTTCATCTCTTCTGAGTTCATAAGTTGGGTGTTTAGACATAAATGAGTTGCCTTTAGAGAATTTTTGTTCTTTGGTTTCCCAGTATTCAAAGGAAGACATTAAAAACCTTTGAAATACAGGACTAAGGAAATTTCCCTTAAATTTTGCTTTGGTGTGTTACTGCTGGGKGCTGTATTTGTGTTCTTTGACATTTTTTGAAAGAGGAAGTAATTTTCACAGACAAGAACTGGATAGCAAGTGGATTGATTGTGCAGTTCAGGTAAGAAATAACCTTTTGTCCTCTGTGCAAGGGGATTTTTTAAAAGATACACTGAGATGGACATTGGAACTTGCCTTACAAGTGCCACGCAAACATAGAAATAGTACTTCTTGGTGAAAGAAAGTGTGATATTGAAGTTCTAGTATGCTTTTTGTCTTCTGTAACTCTATATTTTTTTAATTCCTGCACTTCCAATTACTGAGAAAAATACATAATTCTTTATGCAGAGCATTGTTACCTGTGATATAAAGGAATAATGAGAATGTTTTTCTCTAAAACAGAAATAGGGAAAATGATACTTCATAGCTGAGGAAGAAGAAAATTTAGTTGGTAAAAGGTGAGGATATCATAGCCATGATTAAATAGATAATTTTATCTTGCATTAAGGATTTTTAAAAATTATTCTTGCCTATTCTCTGTAGAGTATTTGTCAAATTTTACTTAATCCATTGCAAATAATATTTGAAGATACTAAATTTAGGTCAGTTCCATCTGTTGTAGCGTGCTCATTCTGTCTTATATGCAGTAAAAGAACTTGCTGTGTCTGCTGGAGATAACATACAAGTGATGCTCCCCAAAAATGAGGTTGAACTGAATGCCTTTGCTGTCCCACCACCATCTACAGGTGAGTTGAATGCCTTGGTATACAGGGAGATGCACACCCTACCAGCTTGTAAATGCAGCCAAGTTCTGGGTTATGTGAACATCCACCACTCAGGATAAAACAGTTTTTCTCATTTCTAATATTGCCTCTCTTGTGACTAACTGCAGAGAGGATTTCCTCTGTTGGAATTTAAAGATTAAATTTTTTTAAATGTCTTTTATTTTCAGAGCCTGAACTCATTAGCCAGATGGTTCAATAGAAAGCCTGTAATTTCTACCAAAAGATCATGTGGCCTAGTTTATAGCATCTTGCTGTAAAGCTCAGGGGAGGGGGGGAAAGTAGAGTCTGAATGCAATATTTGCCTTAAAACTGCCAACTTCTGAATTGCAAGAGCAAATAGAAGATGTTTCCTAAGTAGCTATGTAAAATGTTTGCTTCACATGAAGTAGGTTTTTGCAAAGAAGTCCATCACATCCTTACTGCTTTACCAAGTTGCAGCACACTGAAAGTTTAACATGTGGTCTTACCAATTCATTTTACAGGCTTAAACAGTAGCAGTCATGATTTCATCCTGTAGCATTTTATCTAATGAGTGGTGAACTTGATTTCTTTGTTTTCTGGGCTTATCTTGAATGTTCTTACACTGTGTTATTGCTCTTAGAAACAGCCTACACCTATGAGTGGAGCTTAATCAGTCATCCTGCTGACTATAGCGGGGAAATGGAGCACAGGCACAGCCAGACTTTGAAGCTCTCTCATGTAAGTGAGCTGTACGCTCATGCTCTTTATGTTTGTGTGGTCCTTTCACAGAATTGTAACCTATGGGGAAGGGCACCATAATTCAAGGAGTTCGAATGGCTTAAAATCATCCTGAGTCCCTTCACTTGCATATGTCACCAAATTTATGCCAGTGTCTTGGAGTGCTCTAATAATTTTCTAAGACAGAGTAAAAATTTCTCATATTATCACATTCCTCTTGCTTCATATTTCTCAATTCCAGGCCATGACTAGTGGTCTCTTATATATGTGTTTATAAAAGTAGATTGAGGATTCAGACATAAATAAATCTAGATTTATTCTGTTTGTGATATGAATGTCAGATTTAAGCATGCTTCTTTTGTATAATTCAACATGTAACCCTATTTGTTCTGTGTTTGTCTCAGTTATCAGTGGGACTTTATGCCTTCAAAGTGACAGTTTCTGGTGACAATGCCTTTGGTGAAGGTTTTGTAAATGTCACAGTCAAACCAGGTAAATCAGTTGGCTGATACAATAAATTTCTTCAACACAAGCAGTTACACAGCATACTTATCAGTCTCTCAGTTACTGTTAGTCAGGGACATCTGGCAGTCCAGTCRTGCTGACATATTTCATAACTTGGTGTCTTAAGGGGTTTTAAGGAATAGAGCTAAGGGTCTTGCTCACTGTGTTTAAGTGCTCTCTGATCTTTTCCCCTCCTCAGGTAAAGTCTGAGGTAGCACCATGTCACTTTCCTGGTCCCCTTCTCCAGCTAGGAGCAGCAGTCATATGCTGATCCATCTCTGTCTGCAGGTTACAGTGCACAGCTCTGATCTGAGTTACACCACGTAGGAGCACTGCAGTGGAACACTGCTGTGTCAGCAYGCTGCTCATCAGTAACCTGCTCTTTTCCTTGTCCAAAAAGGACACAGCTGCAAAGCTGTGTGTCCTAGATTTATTCACTRGGGACTATTGATCTGTACATTTAACATTAATTTTGCCTGGGCTTTCATTAACATTTTTTTCTTCATCCCCCCCTGTCTTTCTCACAGCAGTCAGAATTAACCAGCCGCCTATTGCCGTTGCTTCGCCTAAAGTGCAAGAAGTTTCCTTGCCTACAACTTCTACCTTCATCGATGGCAGTCGTATGTACTGGACCATCCCATGCATATATCCTATATTTTCAATATACAATTAAAACATTATCGTTTATCAATTACAAGTGAAATTCCTTCTTGTCACTAATCTCAGAAGTTTCCTGAATAATGATTTATTTTGGGGATTTCAGTCCAGTTATAAATTATTTTAATAAATTTAAAAAAAATAAAAAATAGAGCCTTCTGCTTGGAGATTGAGATGCAGTTTGTCAGAGACTGCTGCATTCAGTGAGCAGCTACTCTTACAGCTTCTTCCTGTCCTGCCCAGAGGGCCTCTGTGCTGGTACAGCTGGGGCCATAGGTGAGAGCTGTCAGATAGGGTGTGACGAGATGTTGTAATTATATTCATAATTACTGAGTGCAGACAAGTTGGAATGTGTAGAGTCTGAGACTGATTTTTTTTTAATTCATGTGTGTGAAGACTTATTTAGATAACTCATACCAAAGGTAACTTGGAATCGGTGATTCATGAAGCTTATTCAACTATACTGAAAGAGACAATTCTAGAAAACCATTTAGGGATGAGCGTATGAACGACTTAAGTATTCATTCCAGCAATTGCTATGRGAAACTGATACGTTTTTCTTTAATGAATGTAGAAAGCATAGATGATGTGAAGATAGTGAGTTACCACTGGGAGGAAATTAAAGGTCCCTTGCGAGAGCAGAAGGCATCTGCTGATACACCTGTCTTGCACTTGTCTAACCTTGTTCCTGGAAACTACACCTTCAGGTATCTGCATGATGATTTTACTCAGGGGCTTTAACTGTGATAAAGCTAAACRTTTGTTTCTTTTTGTGCTCACATTTATCTCCCCAAACAAAAAACCTTAATTTTTCTTCTGCATATTGTTACTCTTCATTTTGCACAGAGGAGAGACATATGGAGCGGTTTTATTAAAAAGTGCTTGCAGTGATCCTTTATAATATGCAAAATTACATAAAAGAAGGTTTAATTGTAAATTAAACATCTCCCCACTTCCAGCCATAACAACTGTGACAAACTGCTTTTTTTTTCCCAGCTTAAAAGCTGGCTAGTGCCCTGAATGAAACTATGCAGTCAGGCTGTGAAAGTCATCCTCTGAATGGTGGTGGCAGACAATGATATTGGCAGACTGATCCYCCCAATACATTGTCATGTGCTGATTTTACTGAGAGTCATTCTGTTTTTTATAAAATCTTTGCCTTGCWACTGGTTTGCTCCATTTATTTATTGCTGAAGCTGGGGTTTGCACAGACAATGGAAGAAGTGTTTGTGTGCTTTAGTAAAAATCAGTACCTCTTCTGAACATTTTAAGTTAAAGCCCAATCTTCACAGAGGCAGACTTCCCACTAACCTAACTTGGGTTCTTTGGCTGCCAGTGGATGCCTACCAGTCAATATATTGTGTRTCAGTGTAGCATCAGCAGAATGTTGAAGCCTGCATACATATACATTAAATGTGGTGCTTTGCATAAGCTTCACCAGAAGCTCTACAGTTTCTACTTGAATTCTGTATTCTTTGCTGGAATTGTTCTGTATTGTACCATAGCAGAAATGAGTGTTAATTTTTTTCCATATTGAAAAGGGCAGAGCTTGCTTACAAGCAATGCTTCTAAGTGTATTCCAAACCCTTGGGAATTAAGAAGTCAATTGTTATATCTCTGCACCTTTGGGGGAGGCTGACTTACCTGAACAATAGAGCAGTATGTTGAAGTTCACATCTGGTCAACAAATTCAGTGCCCTTGATGCGCATGGATGAGCACCCATTCCAAAGAAGCACATGTTCCCTAATGGCTGAAGGAATGCACACTAGTCCTGTTCCTGCTCAGGCTCCCTTCCACGTGGTCAGCTGTATGCAGTTTTCACAACAGAGGTGGATTAGAGATTAGTTGATTACCACACTGCAGAGGGTGGCTTTCATCCCTTTGAAGTGTCTTAAGCAGTCTCTTTTTAAGATGAGAGTCAGTAATGTCTGGATTTTTTTTAAATGCTCTACTTTTTTAGTTTTGTGACTTGACATTGATATTAAGCTCCATTAAAATTAGTAATAGTGTGCCACAAAGAAATAAGATGTCAGGATCTGGTGCTGTTCTATAAGGAGAGGTTCTGAACATCTAGAGTAGTTTTAGATGTAGGTGTTGACAAGGACTGTTTCATTATAGGTGATGAATAAAATCCCTGGKTTTTACCAAGTACATTTCTAAAAGAGTTTGCAGTGAGTGGTGCGGTTGCCATTGACTGCAGGTAAAGGGTTTAATCTGGGATCCAGAATAACTAAACTTTTTTTATTTAGTTTTTCTTGAAGGTTGAAAGTTGTGTTTATAAACAGTTTTCTGAATTTCTTTCTAACCTTACTTGAGGGATATATATATATCTGAAGCAGAAGTTCATATCATATAATTAGTGGCTCTTGTTTAGGTAATATTTGAAAAATGCCAGACAAAAATTAGTATTTCAGTTTAGAAGCCTAGAGAAGACCATCTTAACAGGTTGTGTTTTTCCTGTTGTAGACTCACAGTGATTGATTCAGATGGAGCTGCCAACTCTACCATTGCATCTCTGACTGTCAACAAGCCAGTGGATTATCCACCTATTGCTAATGCAGGACCTAATCAGGCTGTCACCTTRCCCCAGAACTTCATCACACTGAATGGAAACCAGAGCAGTGATGACCATGAAATCGTCAGCTATGAGTGGTCACTCAGTCCCAAAAGCAAAGGCAAAGTTGTAGCAATGCAGGTATGCATATTTCTCCTTGCATAGGATTGGAAAACTTRTTTATTTTTCCTCTATACCTAAGCAAACACATATCTAAATAACTGCTCAGAAGCACTTAAACACCTAGAGTGATGTTACTCTTTTTTTGTTTTTCTCTCACCTGTATTCAGCCCTTATTTTAGATACTACTTTTCATTCCCTTTTTTCATTCTTTGGGGCCAAACACACTTGCTTGTTTCCTGGTGGTTTGGAAAGACTTCACAWTGTCTGTCTGTGAACACTAGAGGCTGTTTGACAGGCTCCCATCTTCTGAGGCTCTGGGCAGGCTGGAAACTGGTAATGGGAGAATGTGGGGGTAGTCAGAGTTTTCTTGAAACACTTTCTCCTGGAGAGAGTAGAACTTAAATAGAAACTTAATTTTCTGAGTGAAAAATGACAAGACCTTTTGGTAGAGTTTATGCAGCCATGCTCTGTGATGGGTTTTTATGCTCACTAAAACATGGGTTTCCAATGAGGGCTTACAGAATTTACTCTCTTATTTTTATGACTGCTTTTGTTGTTGTTGTTCTTTTTAAATCTGAGAAGTTAATAAATATTTCCATTTGACTTGCATTTGGTGAGTTGGAGACAGAGCTCTGTAGGCAGTTGAGGTAATTAACCTAATGAAGCCAGCTGATACCCAGAATCCATTTTTTATAAGAGACTTGATTTCTGCCATGTTGGCAAATGCTTTAGACCTCCAGAACTGAAAAGAGATCACTCTGTAGATCTATTTAGGAGAGTAATATTAATGCAAGCCTACACTGTAGAGGAAATTAAAAAGTTTCGGGAAGGATTTATAGCATAATGATTKTTTTTCTGATTACTCACCAAGACAAAAACTTTCCAAAAGCATCTGAGCAAACTGCACTTACAGTTTTGAAAGCTGTTCAATCTTAAAGCAACATTTCTGAAGGAAGGGAATGATTGCTTGAGATATCCAATGGATTCCTTGGATATTTAATSTGGAAATACAAGTGCATGGTACAGTTTCTTTTCAGTAGACCAGTAATCTTTTTCATGTTCCATAAGCTGAGGGTCATAGAATCATGGAATGGTTTGGAGTGAAAGGGACATTGAAGATCTTGTTCCAGCACCCCACCATGGSCAGGGGTGTCACTCACTAGTCCAGGTTGCTCAGGGCCCCATCCAATTTGGCCTTAACTCTGCCAGGGATGGAGTATCCACACCTTCTCTRGGCAAYATTTTCCAGTGCTTCACCATCTTCTGTGYAAATAATTTCTAATATCTAATCTAAGCCTGCCTTCTTTCRGTTTGAAGCTATTCAYTCTGGTCTTGCAACTATCTSTCCATATAAAATGTCTCTCTCCTTTTTTATAAGCCCCATTTAGRTACTGAAGGGCTGCAATGATGTCYCMTCAGASCCTTCTCTTCTCCAGGCTGAGCAGCCTCAACCCTCTCAGCCTTTTTGYAGGAGAAGTGCTCCAGSCCTCTGATGGAGGCWCTTCYCTGGACCACTCCAGAGGATGCTGTGTCATATGATATCCACTGTTAGAGTGCACTGTTAGAGTAACAAGTACCTCTGCTTTAATAATAATCATTTATCAAGTCCCTTTGTTCTTATTATTATCTTTATCCAAAAAAAGAAAGCCAAACCTAATGGCATTATGACTTRTTATTCCTAATATGAGAGATGCCACAAATGTTCATTTTATTAGTAAAAGAACCTTTAGCTGGGCCCAGTCATTTTATGAGCTTATACAGTTGCCAACAAATACTGCCAGAAGAGTAAACTCAGGACAGGGTTGTCTTACTTAATATGGGGGCTTTTTTTCCATAAGCCTATAAGTCTGGATTCAAGTCAAGCTTGGCTTTACATTTAACAATTTTTATAAATGCTAAAAGATTTCATGATGTTTGTTTTCAAAATATCCCCATGGAAATTGAATAAGCTGTAGGAATTTTCATTAGTATCTAATTTCCTAATTGAGATTGCTAGTGTTCCATATGTTCCACAATTATGGTTGTGGAGAAATAATATAGTGTTGATACCAACAGAAGAAATTAGGATTTATTGCCTGTAGGTATTTCTCTGGGTTGGTAGGAATAGTTGCAATGGTGAACACATTACCTCTGTCTGAGCRTCAGATTTTGAGCCTTCTGTTTATCTGCAAGATGCATGAGCTCCTTGCTCAGGCACTGCATTTATGAATTTAAACATTTCTTTTTCCTTAAATTTGCTCTGTGAGACCTTTGGTTATCCACAACCATTTCTGTTGTATCTCGTGCTCTGTCCTTGCCAACGCTGCGAAGGGAGTGCGGACGCCGTACCTCCAGCTCTCTGCAATGCAGGAGGGGGATTACACATTCCAGCTGACTGTCACAGACTCGGCGAGACAGCGCTCCACAGCCGAGGTCACACTGATCGTGCAGCCTGGTAAGTCACTGCAGGCACCTCCAGGTCCCTCAGGGCTGCCCCAGCTTGGTGCCTTGACGGTGTTTTCCAACAMCTCCTCTCTCTGCATTGCACCTCTGACATGGCAGCCCCTATGTCTGGTACCCCTGACAAGGACTATTCCATTTTCTGTCAAGGCCGGCAGTTGAGCAAGTGTAGAGTCACACAAAGTCCAGGTGGTGATCCTGAGGGCTCACACCAGCCTGGTTATATAAGGCAACCTGCAGAAAGAGCTGTTTGAGTGTGCTGCTAAAAGCCAAATTGTAGCTCTTGAGGTTAATGTCCTACAAAGTCTTTTTTGAAAACTGCTCAGAGTATCAGTCAGTGCTTTGCTCAGTTTTCTTATTGTTTTGCAATTCTTCTGCAAGAGTTCTTGTGTGATTTGAATTCTCATTCAAATGAATTGCATTGTGYTTCCTAGGGAAAAGTGTCAAGCAAGGACTTTTCAAAATCTGCATCTTTTACATGTTTCTTTAGGTTTGGGAGACAAGTGATGAATAAGCCCAAATGGTCTGGGCCTCATGAGATTTTTWAAATTCCTTTACTTTTTTTCCTAGCATGTTTGCCCATTACATTCAAAGTGGCCTTTTCTGCCCACATAGGTCCCACATTCCGTGATGGGGTGATGTTTTATATTCCTGTTGTCACTTAGTACACATCTTTTGTCAATGATCCCTTCTTTACATCAGCTTTCCAGGAGCCATTTGCTTCACAAATCAAGAACATGAATTGGAAGTGTGGTGCAATGATGGTATCTTTTAGACCTGTACAGTATGGAGTTCCAAAGATTGCTAAAGTCAGGCCCAAGGGTAAATAAATACCCAGGAAAACTGTAGCATTACCAGTTTTACACGTCACAAAAGCAGAGGCTGAAAACAGAGTACCAGGTTATATGTTTCTGCACTAAATTCTCAAAGGCTCTGAATTGGCATTAACTTAGTGGCATCATGCTGGSCTGGAGCAGCAGACAGAATGGGTCAGTATCTTCTTTGAAGGCAAAGAATCATATTTGTGTGTTTGTGTAATTTGAATTGCTGGAACTAGGAAAATACCCCACCACTCATGTTTTGTGACGTTTCGTATCATGGGTTGAGCATGCAGCAAGATTTTTAGGGGTATGACTGTGCCTTCAGATAGGACTATGAAAAAGGGTCTTGCTGTAAGATTTGTGATCCCATTTGCTGTGGGATTTGGCTCGTTGCAAAGCTGTCCTCTCCCTCCTGCTGGTTTGCCCATGTCATACTTGTGRTTTGTACTTTTTGGGACAATATATCAAATTTTCATTAAAATATTCCGTAAAATCTTTCCTCTGATTGGCCAGCCTTGCTGGTGACTACCTAGAAAATGTCATACACTAATTATTAATTTTGCAGAAAATAACAGTCCTCCAGTAGCAGTGGCTGGCCCTGACAAGGAATTAACCTTCCCAGTAGAAAGTACTACACTAGATGGAAGCAAAAGCCAAGATGACCAAGGCATTGTCTTCTATCATTGGGAAAATATCAGGTATCTAAAGATTTTACTAATCTCCAGTAAAATAGAGAGCAAAAGGAAAGTAACTTGGTCTAGAGCCTCTTACGCAATCATGTCGAGTGATGTTCTGTTAGAGAATAGCTTTCAGGACCATCCCACTTGAATACTAATAGCATAAGAAATAGTAATTTTAAGYTGAACTTCAAAAGCTCAGACAGTCTCTGCCTATGTTTTGCAATGTTTCATTTTGAGGCCTACTTTTATAAAATTGAAAGAAAATGACAGAAACTTCTGTGTCTCTTATTAAAAAGCAAATAACAGGCTTGTGTACCTTCATCTAATATACCAAACTTTTCCATTAGTGCTTAGAACTGGGATTTCTCAATCACTTATTTATGGAACAGTAAAGTGTCAGTCACTTCAGGCTGAACTTTACCTAATGGGTGACTAAATCACTGTTGAATGATGATTGAAAATGTTTTACAAAAGCTTGTAATTCTATGTTTATGTGCAAATCTAATTGCTCCTTACTAAAAGGAAGAGGTGTTTTAGCTCATGCAACTGTCATACCTGGTACAGGAAGAGGTTTTCTGGCAGCCTGTTCATTTTGTGAGTGTCTCTTGGAGCAATATAATTTATATGAAATAGCTATTAGTTATAGTTCTATTTTCATGCTCTCACAGAATAGAATTGTGGTGAGGTTGAACTTTGGGGTGCATTATCATAAGTGGGGGTGTGTGCTTGGGTGCTTTGAATGTCTTGGTAAAAAGCATTAATGGATTGTCTAAACTAAACTCATGTCTCAGATAGTTCTTTAACCATCAGTGCTTAAATAGCAAGCAGTAGTAGAACTACAACATATGAAAGCAGAAGGTGTGAGCAATGCTGCTGAGCTCCCAGTCTGGCTGGCTGGGCACAGTTATTTTTGTGAGATGTTTTGTTTCAGTGGGCCAAGCTCAGTACAGATGGAAAATGATGACAAGGCAGTAGCAACTGTGACTGGCCTCCAGGTTGGTACCTATCGCTTCAGGCTGACCGTGAAAGACCAGCAGGGCCTGAGCAGTGCATCTGTGCTCTCCATTACTGTGAAGGAAGGTAAGCCTGGCTGCTACCACTCCTTAGGGAATGGTGGGCAACTGGACAGTTCATTAAGTTGCTGACAGAATGTCAAGGAAATCAGAATAGAAAGGTATAACATATTTGTCGTCATGTTTCAAGGGTGTTCAAAAAGACTCAACTGCTCTGTAGTAAAGTAGTATTGGAGTGACTGGCAGAATTGATTTCATTTGATGCAAACTGTTTTAATGTTCAATATATGCAAAATTAGTTGTAATAAACATGCTCAAAAATAATATATTTGATAATTTCATGTCTACATCATTAAGAATATACATTTTTATTTTATGTTTGAAGTTAAGCTTAGAGTAGAAAAGCAGTTTTACTGTGTATTTTAGAGTAACATCCTAGAAGTAACATCTTGGTGAACCAATTTCCACTTAAAAAATTAGTATTAAAAAAACTGGGGTTTGGGGTTTTTYGGTTTTGTGTTGTTGTGGTGGAGGCTTTTTTGTGTGTTTTTTTGGGTTTTGGGGTTTTTTTGGTTGGTTTTTTTGGTGTATTTGGGGTTTTTTGTTTGTTTTGGGGTTTTTTTTTGTTTGTTTTTTAAAATTATTTATTTTTTAATTATACAGAGAAACAGTTGCTGTGGTATAGGGTATTTTAATTTTTTGAGGTTTGGTATTTTAATTTTTTCCCAACATGCATGCTATAAAAAAGTTTTAGGATAATCATAGAATCATAGAATGGTTTGGGTTGAAGGAACCTTCAAAATCACCTTGTTACACCCCCCTGCCATGGGCTGGGATACCTTTCACTAGACCAGACAGTGCAAAGCCTCATCCTTGAACCCCCCCAGGGATGGGCTGACTTCAGCAAGCCCAGAATGCAGTTGGCTTTCTAGACTGCACGTGCCCATTGCTGGGTCATGCTGAGTTTCTTGTCAGCCAACACCCCAAGTCCTTCTCTCCAAGGCTTAGTGGCATTATGCTGGCTGGTCCCGGTCCATGCTCTGTCCAATTGGTACTTGGGATTGGAATTATGCTGACCCCTGCGCATCTCAGAGAAGAAGGTGGACTTTGTTTTACCCGCGTGCTTCATTGCTTGAACTCTTTCAAAGTTTCACTTAGTTTTCAGTTAGAAATACATGGCAACAGCTCTGCCCAAATGTGTCCATGGTCTTATTTGGGCTGTGAAGTGTAGCCACCGTAAGTCCTGTCTATAGTCAGAGGTTTGATACCAAAAATAATGAGTTTTCCAATAACCAAGTTTAGTCAATTGGTTTTATTTGGAAGAGTCAAGATCAGTTGTATCACAGACAACCCTATGCTGYGCAGCCAAAGCACCAGAGATCAGCCCAGAATTGAATTAATGTCCAATGATTTGTATCCAGTAAGGTGTTTCACTCAGCCTCTCAACTTCCTTGAGCCCTTGCTTACCAGTTGCGTTCTAAAGAAAAATCAGTGATGTCTGGTTTCTGGAAAGAGAATATGTTCATATTTCTCTGGGTTTTTTTCACCCTATGCCCAGTGCATGCCTCAATTTCATTGATAATGGTGAGCAAAAAAAAAATTGGGAATTAGACCTAAGTTTGCTGATTGCATTTCGCCTAAATACAGGCATTTTGAAGATGCAGGATCTTGCACAAGCTTCTATTGGGTAATAARTGATTTTCCAGATGAAAAGGTCCCAGCATGGTGGTCTCATGTCTTGGCACTTTCAAGAGGCAGAAAATCTTTTTGCTTGACTGAGAAGATCTGATAATTAAATTACTGTGAAACTGTAAATATAATATCCTACAATACTTTTTGAAAAATACCTTTCTCCTCATGGTGCACCTCTGTTTTTATTAGACTGCAATATGCCCAGAGCCAAATTTTGTATACCCACTCATCCTTTTCCTGCAGCTTTGACATGAGGCTCTGTTGTTATTGTCTGTAATCATCAGGTAAAGAATTGCAATGTGGGTGTATTGGCAATGGCAAGTCACATTTCTCATGTTTTGAAAGCAAATCCCTCTCCACTATTTTTATGGCTAGAAAACAACARTCCACCCCGGGCACACGCTGGTGGGAAGCATGTTCTGGTGCTTCCAAACAACTCTGTTACCTTGGATGGCTCAAGGTCCGCTGATGACCAGGGGATTGTGTCATATTTGTGGATTCGGGATGGTCAAAGCCCRGCAGCTGGGGTAAGTTTCTTGAAGGTTGTAATGAAATTGGGCTTTTCTTATGTGCATAACACCACTGCATAAGGAGAGTGGGTGTGACCCATAAGATGCTGTCAGGTGTGGGATCTGTTTCTGGTTGGTGTCCCTGCTCTCTGTAATGCTGTGGTTCAAGAAGCTGGTGATATTTCCATTACAGCGAGAGAATATGGCAGCTAAGTAAGAGGACTGCAGAAATGCAGCATTAGTTGGGAAAGATTTCAGACAGAAGAATAAAGCTGTGCCTCTTTAAGAATAATAGGTGATAGTATGAAGCTAATGTGTTTGAGAGGAAAAGAAGTAATCTGAAATCCAGACATTCCAAAGGAGGAAGGATCTGCAAGAGCAAGAAGTGCCAGTAAAGATTAAGGAATTCTGCCTGGTATCATATGATGTAAAACTTGAAGTTTAAGATAAAAATGGTGTTTGGCATTGTGTAGATACCTTGCCTGGCAAACAATGGTGAATAGCCTGAGGCGTTAGGGCATGGATGCTACTCTCTGCGTGGGGCAGACAGCAGAAATACCTGATGATAAACTTCAGTTTATGTGTCAACTAATAAAACTGGGATAACTTTTTTCCCTATTTGCAAAAAGTRTTATGGACACTCAGGAAGACAGTGGCAAATCAGCAAGTACTGGGAGAGGAGAAAAAAAGCAAAATCATAAAGAAAACATCTAGAAGCAGTTCACATGAGAGTGTAAGAACTGAAGAGGTGTAGCTTAAATATAGCTGGCAAAGKTAATAGTTGAAAATACATGAACTCCAAGGAGAGGAAATTAGGAGTTAAGAAAGCAGAACTAAGGATACAGAATAAAATTGAGAAGYGATAATATAACTGTCTTGCATTTTCAAGCAGATAAATTCCTCAGGTTATCGGCTGTTCTGTCTGGGGTATTTTTAATGAAAATATCCATAGTCTGCAGATATCCTCATTAACTGTACCTTCCAAATTGTCATTACTGTACTATAAACTATGGGTAGGTCACATTTATCCCAGAAGTCAAAGCAAGAACGCACACCATCATACCTGACAGCTGACTTAATAAACCTGCATAATGATTCTCTAAGGGTGTAACTGTTCTGAACCTTGTTTTTGCAGGATGTGATCCATGGCTCAGACCACGAGGCAGTACTGCAGCTAACTAATCTGGTGGAAGGAACCTATATTTTCCACTTGAAAGTGACGGATGCTAAAGGAGACTCAGATGTTGATTCAGCAACTGTTGAAGTGTGGCCTGGTATGACAATTAAAAGGTCATCGACATGTTGTGAATACCACATCTTTGTTCTCCTTTCCACTTATTTGTTTAGATGCTGATGACAATCTCTCAAAACACAGAGCAAACAGGTCTCTCTCTTACCTTCTTACTGTTCTCTGAATAGGCCCAAGTGTGTAAGAAGGTGACATCAGGTTTCTAACTACTACAGTCACTGTAGTTGGGGACATAAATAAATAAAAATTATACCTATTAGTTAATATTTTCATTAGGTTTTTGTTGCAACTCATTCTTTGYAAGTTTTTTGTTTCTCTTCTAAGGTTTCGTGTTTCTTTTTCTGCTTGTTAATTAGTCTGGCCAATAGAAAGAGAWGGGAGCTGAACATTAAATTTAGGTACAAATGCTGCAGTTTGATGGTTGAAAGTGTTTGTTTTTCTTCTTTCACCCTTAAGGACGAAACCATTCCTCATAGAATTTCAGGGACTTGAAAACTTTCTTTTCATGGTTGGATATTACTTATTACTTAGATTTGTTTTCAAATGCAGGTGAAATAGCTATATGATGGAAGTTGAAGTTTTAGGAAARTACTCTGAAATCTTGAGTCAGAGATTACTTGCTTGTCTGGCTCCTGTGCAATGTTTTTATWTCTGTTCCTCACTTTATTGTTGAATGTAACTGGATTATGATTCTCATGGGAYATCTGTGAGGTTTGTTTTGTTTCCAAGGTACTCTAGAAATTCAAGTATTATTTAACAGAACCCTCAGTTTGTCAGGGTAAACAGGGTAAACATACCTGATATTTCCCAACTTCACCATCCTCATTTAGACTTGCTCASAGTCTTGCATGTCTGTACAAATCCATCTTTGGCTCCCTTTTCTTGGGTGGTAGTCAGTAGTAAATAACTGGCAAGAAACTTGGTAATTGGACTCATCTTGTGCTTAGCACAGAAGTTGCTTTTCTGCACAGAAACGTGTAAATGCTGAAAATGCACCTTGAAGTACTTTCTTGATAGGATGGGTTGCTGGGTTGCTGTCTTAGGACCCACCAGGTTTGTTTCAGAGAACGTGGCCATATAGGCTAAGTACTTCTCTAAGAACACAAAAGAGATGTGGCCATATAGGCTAAGTACTTCTCTGAGAACACAAAAGAGATGGCTTATCAGTGATATGGGTCTTATGCAGAAAACGGTAGCATTAATAAGTCCTTTCAAGTACTGCATATTGCTACTGAAATGTTTACCAGGCTCTGAAGGAGTAGCTTTCTTCTTCTTCTTCTGTCAGATCCCAAAAGAAGTGGTCTGGTGGAGCTGATCCTGCAGGTTGGAGTGGGACAGCTGAGTGAGCAGCAGAAGGACACTCTGGTGAGACAGCTGGCTGTATTACTGAATGTTTTGGATTCAGATATCAAAGTTCAGAAGATACAAGCCTACTCAGATATAAGGTACAAAGATGTCCTGTTGTGCCAGAAAGACTTGTGATTTTCTTCGCATCTTTCACAACTCATAATTAGTTGCAAAATAATCTTTTCCAGGATGACAGTATTCTCAATATAACTTTGGAGGTGAATTTCTTCTGCAGTAGAAAATTGATGAAGTAAACTCTGTGGAGGCTCAGAACTGAAGTGTTTTGTTTAAAAAAATCCAAATTTTTTTGTACAGATTTTTTTTTTCCTTTAAATAAAGGAAAACATGCATATATGTGTCTTTGTTCCATACAGTGCTGATATTTTTTCCAAATGCTCAGTGGAGTGAGATAAACAGACTTCTCACAGTGAAGCAAGTGTTCTATTTCAAAGTAAGGTTCCAGCTCTATTTGATCAAACCTATTTTATTCCCCCTTTTTTTTCCTACTTCTTCTCCATGGTTTGGATATTCCTAATATTTTGCAAACATTTTCCCAGGTAATGGTCATGAAAGTCCATTTTTTGCACAGTGGATTCTCTTAAGTGTGGTATTTTACTGTGAAGAAGAAATGGCCCCTGTACTTTGTGTAGAGCGCTAGAGATGTCTGCATGTGCCCAGAGACACTTCTCAGCGTGACTGGTAGAACCTGAGTTCTACTGAGTTCATGAACTCAGTTCATGAGTTAGGTTTAAATTACTTCTTGTCAACTACTTKGTAATTTAAAAACCATTTTGGTGATTATTTAGCTCTCAGGGAACCTCTTGAAATTTAAAACCACAATTTGGAAAGCATAGTTTTTATAGCTATGGTATTTTTAATCACAGCTTTTCAAATGAAAATGTTGCCTGGAGTGTCTGATACAAGATGAGAACAACAGAGTGTTCTCATCAGAGTGCCTTCTGACAGATTCTGCATGAGAGTGAAGAAAGCAAATGTATACATACTTCTTAAAGTCAGGAAGACCAAGCAGGGAATCGCATTTGCTGTTATCCTCACCTGCTTTGTGTGAAACTGAGAAGCCAGACAACTGCTGGTGCTCCCAGCTCAAAATGATGATCAGTTGTCTGATCCACAGAGTTCCCTAATCTTTGTCATGGTGACATTGTCTTTCCAGAAGCAAAAAAAAATCCAAAAGTCTACACCCTTTATACTTTATTGCTGAATGCCTGACAAAAATGATCCGTGACAGTAGTCCTGACCTTAGCTGTTCTTTCTGCAGCACTGCAGTTGTGTTCTACGTGCAGAAYGGGCATCCTTCCTCGGTGATCAAGGCATCGGATGTCTCACGGGCTCTGCACATGCAGCTGCTGAAACAGAAGGCTGACTTCCTGCTTTTTAAAGTCCTACGCGTTGACACAGCTGGTATGTATTGGATCATGCTTGCTTGTCTTAAAACTTTGCAGGAATTTGGCTAACACAGCACCTGGAAACAGTGACATAGTGCATAGAGTCCTTCTGTCTGCCATCTGGTGTCTGGGCTTGGTGGGTGTAGCTTTACAAAAGATGGTGTTGAGGACAATACTTAAAATGCTTCATGATTTGTGGTAGGTAGACTGGTGCCAGTTACTTTTAAGAGACATCAGCATTTTGCCTGTATCAGCAGGCAAAAGCACATCTTAGTGCAGGAAAAAGCATCAGGAAGGCCTGTGGAATAAGGATAAAGATGCATCTTTTCTTGGAAGATGGCAAAACTTAACATAGCCATAAAATAGGTGTTTCATGTCTCTGCTTCCTTCAGGGCTTTTAGAGTTCAGTGAATAGGCTTGCAATCTGTCCTTGTCTGCCTGTAACAGGCAAAATGGGTGATCAGTTTGTTATAAATTAGTCAAATATTTGCAATGTACACAGGCCGCTGGGGTTTCCTCTAATGAACTCTTTCTTTTGCCCAAAAAGATGCTTGAACTTCTAAGCTTATTTTAAGCTTCACTACTAATGTCACCCCTTTATGATACTTAGGTGTTACAGACATGACTTCTCTGTAATTTAAAATCAGGACTCAACAATTCAAATAGAAAAAAAGTAAGCAAGCTCTGGTCATAAAATGATCATTGATTGTGTAGTAAATTCCATCTTTATTTACTGTGYGAAAAGAATTTTTTTTTATTATAAATGTACTCTGATTACGTTCTTTCTCCTCACAGCCAGCAGTCTGCTAAACTGTAAACCTATTTGACACATAGCGCCAAAGAAAGGGAGTTTGAAAAAATATTACAGTGTAATGAACCTGATACTTTACCACCAATCTGGTCTTACAGTGAGAGGCTGCACGAGGTTGTCCATTTACACAACTGATCCTTCGTTTGGTTCTGTTCTTAGGCTGCCTTTTGAAATGCTCTGGACATGGGCACTGTGACCCCATAACAAAGCGCTGCATTTGCTACCAGCTGTGGATGGAAAACTTGATTCATCGTTATCTAAATGATGGAGAGAGTAATTGTGGTTAGTTCGGGTGTTGTGGGATGTATTTCAAGAGTAACTTCTTGTCTTGTGAGACTGTTCATTATTTGTTCTCAGAATGGGCAGTACTTAGTAGGTGGATACTGAGGGGAGACTATAACAGTCTGTTTTGTCAGCCCAGCAATATCTTTCTGTAGAAAGATACTTGAATAATTTCTTGAAATTATGTCTTGACAGTAGTAGCCTAAATTAAAAAAAAAACAAAACACTATCTGATGAAAAACATGAAAACTTGGGAGAGAGATTTTGCAAAAGTTAGGGGCCAGTTGGAGGGATTGTTGAATAACGTGGGCACTGAAAAGCTTTTGAATAAGATTGTTGCAAATCTGGAAAAGAGGCAGCGACTTTGATTTCTCTGAGTGATTAGTTGGTGCTTCTGTGCCAGAAGTATGATCTGGTCTAAACAAAGAAAACATCATTGTTCTGGCCTGACCAATACTGACCTTTAGAATTTCAGATTTTTAGCATGATTAGTTCTACTGTTTCTATCAGTTTGCCTGGGAAACGTAATTTAGTTTCACCAGGATTATTCTCTCTATAGTCTGTGGCACACCTAATTTATCAGCTAAGCCTCTCTATTTTAAAGAAAGAATAATTAAATTAAAATTAAATTAGTCTTCTACTTGAGTTGAAATAATGATCAACTCTCTTAGTACAGTGCAGGCTTGGAGACATTTGCTGAGCAATGCACTGGTCTTCAAGTAAATCTATAGACATTTATAAGGAGCTTGGTACAAGCCATTAGGTAACAATGGCCACATGAGTAAAGACTAATGACGACTCACATAGGATGCTGGGWTTTGAGTCTGAGACGGGGACCTCCTGCAACCCTGCCCTAATGCTGTGTTGCTCCATGTCGTGATTTAGAATGCTGGCCAAAAGTCAGGCACCCACAACACCTGCTCACTCGCTCTCCCCCACCACACTGGGCAGAGATGAGCGAASGAAAAAAAAAWTAACAAAAGGGTTCATGAGTTGAGATAAGGAGCRGGGAGGAAATTCTTAATGGACAAAACAGGCTCCACTTAAGTTATGAACTGAATTTATTACTAACAAAGTCAGAGGAAGAGAATGAGAAATAAAATAAAACCCTCAAAGACACCGATCTTCTCCCCACTCCCTCCCACTGACAGTGCAAAGCAGGGGGTGTGAACAGGGTGTGGGGTTGGTCAGTTCAGGGTGTGGGGTTGGTCAGTTCAGGGTGTGGGGTTGGTCAGTTCAGGGTGTGGGGTTGGTCAGTTCATCACCGGATCCTCTGCGGCTGCTGAGGGAGAGGAGTCCTTCCCTTGCGTTGCCGTGGGGTCCCTCCCACGGGAGACAGTTCTCTGTGAACCTCTCCGGCGTGGTTCCACTCTCACGAGCAGCAGTCCACACACATCTGCTGCATCGTGAGTCCCCCCCCACAGGCAGACAGTCGTCCCAAAACTGCTGCACCGTGGGGTCCCTTGTCCCCTGGGTGCAGGCCCAAGGCCAGACTGTTCCATCTCGGGAGCAAGGCCTCTCTCTCCATGGCTCTCCTGCTGGACACAGCCCCTTCTCGGCATCTACCCCCTCCGGCATGGGGACCTCCCTCCTCCACGGTTCGGGTGATCTCTGCACCCTCTGGGGTCCCATGGGCTGCAGGGGGACAGCCTGCTCCACCATGGTCACCATGGGCTTCAGGGGGACAGCCTGCTCCACCATGGTCACCATGGGCTGCAAAGGAATCTCAGATCTGGCACCTGGAGTAGCTCCTCCCCTTCCTTCTCCACTGACCTTGGTGTCTGCATCCCTCACATTTTCTCAGCCTCCTCCTCTGGCAAAACTTCTGTGCGGCTACCACGTTTGTTTTGATTTCTTCTTAAATATGTTTTCACAGAGGCGTAACCACCATCTCCAGTTGGCCCAGATTTGGTCAGTGGCATGTCCATCATCCTCAGAGCCAAAAGCAATTGACTCTGCCGGATATGGTGGAAGCCTCCAGAAGCTTCTCACAGGAGCCATCTTTTTGGCCCCCCCACTTCCAAAAACTGGGCTAAGCAAAACCAACACACTCCATAATGTAATAATAACAATACTGAAAACTGAGTATAGACACATTGGAGTTCAAATTRTTGCACATCTCTCTGTATCCTTCTCTGTTTTCCTGGATTTATAAATGCAAGTGTGGGGCAGAAGGATCTACCTCTAACCAGCCCCTGCTTTAAAACACTACTAAAATGCCAGACCCAGAGTACACCTCTGTTTATTTCAGTTAARGAATGRTAACTGAGGTGGTAACCRTGACCCTKTGCAGGATGRTCAGTTCCCACATAGACATCAGATATCTTGGGATGGTAAAAKGTATTTGAGAGGATGAAAATTTTCTAATGTGCACTTCTAATCTTAAAGCTTAAAAATTTTTAGGAATTCTTCTAAGACTATGTTGCTGCTGAGTTTTCCTGTGTTCCCGTTGCCACTCCCCATTCCTCAGGACTGCTTTTTTTTATAGAGTTGTATTAGAAGTTATTCTGTTCATATGACTTAATGAAGTGCTGTTGTGTTTCTTTTTTCAGAGTGGAGTATACTCTATGTGACTGTATCTGTTTTTATTTTGATTGTGGTCATGGTAGGGCTTGCCTGGTTCTGCATCTGCTGCTGCAAAAGGTACRTGATTTGTGTTCCTTTTTGGTGGGATATTGCAAAAATTGCACACAATCTCCATATTTGAGTCCAGTCTTTAACACTAAACCACTGAACTCATTTTGGACATGCGAGGAGCTTCCTGTAGCTGTTTCTGTAGATGCACACTTCTCTTGAAAAAAGGCGTATCAATTTGTGTCTGTGCTCTTCTGCATTATGAAAACCAAAAAGCTAATTTTGCAGTAACCTTTATATTAAGTAATAATTAATTTTTGAATGCTAAGAGTGTACTGCAGATCTTCAGTCTCCTACTRAGTCCTGCAGATACTCCAAGCTAAGGAAAAAAAGGCACACCCTGAAGATCACTGATGGAGGAATGTTCTAGGCTATGGGAAAGGATTTGCTCCCCATCTGGTGCTCCCTTGGACAGGAAGGGTGGGTGGCTGGGCTGCATGTGGCTTACAGGCAAAGAGCACTCCRGTGATCTGAGTCATGTAGACTTCTTGCTTCCTCTTTGCTTAAACAGGAACATTCATACTACTGAATGTTGTTTCCCTCTCTGCCTCCTCTCCAGTCTTTCCTACTGAGCTGATAAGAAATCCTCTTTCAAGTGACAAGCCCCTGCAAGTTCTGTCACTAGAGCAAGTGTTTTTGCTGTGGTTCAAACAACTCAGCAAATAGATAGCTTGTTCAGGTGTTAGCAAAAATAAAATGCCATCAAAATCTTTCTGGATTTTCATCTTTTCCTGGGTTTCTTTGCAGTATGTAAAGGATGTGTGGGAGTCAATACTAATTTTACTTTTATGGTTGAAGGAACAGTGATGTTAGTAGAAAACTTTAAATAGCAAAGTGTGTCCCATTCCACCCCCACAGTGTGGGGTGGATTCTCACAGACTTATGTATAATTTAAGGAATTTTTTATGAGTTCAGCTGCTTCTGTCCTTTATCCTCATGTGGCTTGTGCCTGAGAGTGAGGGTTGGGTGATACAGATCCATGTGAAAAAGAGGAGGGGATTGCTGCACAAAACAGAATGGCAAGAGACTCTCTGTGCCTTGTGGAAACAGCGTGAAAAAGACCCAGTGTAGCGATTTGGTCAGAGTTTTGGAGGTTTTAAAGAGTTTCAGTTGCCAGATGAAGTCTATAGAAGACCATGGAGGGGAGACTAAGGCTGGCTGTTGCTGTAATGCTGCCTGAGCAGTAAGGTGAATTCTCTACTGTGGACTGTGGGGGCATGCAAATATTCATCTGCCATGTGTGTAGCTACTGTGCTGAAATTGAACAAACTATGGCTTGGGAGAGCAAACCAATCTGCCTTGCTTTCTTCATTGTTCTGCATCAGAGAGAAKATAAACGATACTGTCTTGTCTATAGGGTATGTAGCTGTGTGTATGAAAAGGAAGGGGGAGCAGATCTGTGTCTGTACCTGAGAATTAAATGTCTTTTTGGTTAACTATCTTTTTAGCAGGAAGAGGACAAAGATAAGAAAGAAAACAAAATATACCATCCTTGATAACATAGATGAACAGGAGAGAATGGAGCTACGGCCCAAATATGGTAAGTACTGTATGGCAATCCGTGAACTCATCCACCAAGTGTGYAGCCAGTGTGTCTGAATTGATACCTGTAGTCAGGAGGAGCCTAGAAGCTGGTCTACAAGTTTGGGAGTGGCAGAGACAAACAGACAATGAACTGGCTGAGGGAGAATCAGTTAAYTTCTTTAATAAAGCCTTGGGCTCAGCCTCTGCTCTGACCTTCTGAGTTTATCTTAATTTAGAACATTTAATTGTCCCACAGATTTCCTCCATGTAAGCCTTCTTTCTCTGCACATTCTTTAATATTTGGAGCTGTTTTTGTTGCTGCGCAGCAGTTCCCTCCTGACCCCTAAGTGCCCTGTTAGACATTCAGGAGACTTCAGATACTGTTCACATATATTTTAATTTACCTGACTTTCAGGTTTTAGCAGGGGAAATGTTCGAATCCAATGAAATAAAATCATTCTGAAAAACTGCTGTCCTAGAAAGACAGAGATAATATTTCTGTAGAAACCATGACCTTTGATTGCCATTCACGTTAATAAGCTTGTTGAGTGGACAGACTGATTTCCAGATTCAAGCTATTAAAAATACATTTGGTATGTACTTTTCAATTTAAATACGTATATTCACATTGTTGTTTCAAATTTAAATACATATATTCACATTTCAGAGTCATAAATGGATGGGCCTACAGTGAAGTCATAAGAGTATCTGAAATAGCATATGTTACTTCCTAGGCCAGTTTTTTGTACTGGTGTATGCTGATACACTGTGCTGCAGGGAATGTTTTATTTTAACTTTCATATCACATCAGGGAAGAAGATGGTTAGGAGTTACTAAAAACCCAAACCTTTCTAAGGAGTTTATTCTGTTTTTTTATTGTCAGGTATAAAACACAGAAGTACAGAACACAACTCCAGTCTGATGGTCTCAGAGTCAGAGTTTGACAGTGATCAGGACACTATCTTCAGCAGAGAAAAGATTGAAAGGGAGAATTCTAGAACACTTAYAAATGGATCCATCAGAAATGGAGTTTCCTTCAACTACAGCTCCAAAGACAGATAACTGAATGAGGGTAAAAGCACAGAACACACTGGTGCAACACATCTGAAACATGCTGGCCCACCTCTGTTTTTCCAGAACCAAAAGCTTCCTAAAATATCAACTAAATGGAGATGAAAGGGTAAATTTCTAGCACAGRTAGGAGAATGCAGAAGGAGGAAGAAAGCATTAGATGGTCAGCTAACTCCTCTTGTCACCATCATAGGAACAAGAAAAAGCCCATCTTCTCACATGTTCTGTGCTGAATGTTTGAACTTCAGAAGGCCTTTTCTTCTACATCACTGCTACAAAATTGGCAGGGCTGTTATGCTACAAACTGTGGTAACTGACAATGGCATACAGATTCATATCATGTGCTCCTAATGCTCTCCTTGAGAAAATGGTGTGATTTACAACAGCAAAAGCCGATATAGATGGAGTCCCTTTTAACTATAGAGAGCAATACGTGGCCACAGTCTCCATCTTAATTTTCATTTTAGGATGGAAACACAAAGAGCATTTTTAGTGCATTGTATTTATCCAACTGTAATTTGTGACTTCCTTTCCTGGGGTAAAAATGCTATTGTTCTCAGAGAAAATTAACAACTAGCAGTTGTACTGAATCAGCTGTAATGTAATATTGTGTTGTATCTGTGTCCTGCAGGATGCAGTGTTTCCTGTATTCATATAGAAGGTGTGGTGTCTGCAGGAAAATCCAACCTTAGGTTGCTTCTGTAATGATCAAGTTGCTTTGGCTCTGCCGTGTCCCTCCAGGAAACCGTAGCAGGAAGGACTTGGTGCAAGCACCTTCAGGAGCATTTTGAGCATCCCAAAAYACCTTTTTGGATCACTTTGAGGAGCTCTGGACCTTTTAAGACTGAACACTCAGCAGAGATGGGTTTTTATCTGTCAGCGTCAGTGCTCAGTTAAAGAATGTGCCAGGCACTTGTGCATTGAAATGTTTATGGCAAATAACCCTGTGTGGAGCAGGAGGTTTAATGTACCTTCATTGTCATGGGAATCGGTACKGAGCAGTGTTTTAGCTTGAACATTAGATTATTTGATTTTTTCCTCTGTGGCTTTTCAGTGACTGGATGTGTTGGCCTACAGAGATCCCTTTTGATGTTTGGCAAGGGTGGGTGTATTGAAGTTCTGATATTCTTGTTCACAGTCTGGGTAATTTCTTCACAGCCTGCTTGTTAGGCTTTGGAATCATACCCCCAATACTGCTCTTGAAAGCTCAAATTTAAGACCTGACTTTTATACATAAGCCTCACTTGTGGGGGCGTCTGTGTCAGTGGTACTGTTAAGCAATGACATCAAGCTTTCCTGGGGGTCCTCTACTGATGTTCTGGAGTCTTGGGCTGAGATGGAGGAATGATGTGTTTTGATGGAGAAAACATTCCTCTGGGAGCATTTTTGAACAGTTTTTTTTTTTAAATGTTTTGGTTTCATTGTTTGGAGATTTTTTAATCTGGTAGTAGAGAACTCGTTATCAGAGGACAGAGCAGTAAAAAAATCAAAGGGAGCAGTTTAGAAGGGTCAGGGAGAGAACATAGCCCATCTCCATCATAGGATTTGGGGGCTTTCTCCATCCTTTCTTAGAAGTCTGACACAACAGAGTAGCAGGGTTGAACATGGGGGCTTCTGTGCTTCTCTTGTTAATAGACTTAGGCAACATTCAGGAGTATTGTCTAGGCTGGAAGGAATCAGTGGCCAAAAGTTGCAGCAACATACCATGCTCATCACTTGTATCATACCTTTGATTCTCAAGTGCAGTCAGCAACAGTCCCTAAGGCTACTAATGCAGCACTGAGCAGTATTTACCGTGTCCAGCCTTGCATTTTTCTGGGGGTCTTTTCCAGAGTGTGGCTGCATCGTGGTGGGAGAGGCTGTAAAGAGCTAAAAAGGGCTAATACAGGTGTTGTCTATGTTTTTCCCATACACACCAGCAAAGTGTAGTATAAATGGCATGATTTGCTTTCTTCAGAAACCAAGTTTCAACTCTGTGTATGGGGGTTAGGCTATTTCTTGTGTTTCTTGAAACAAATCTACTTATCACACTCTCCTTSTTCTTGAGAGTGTGTGTGTATACGTGTATATATATATTTTTAAATAACTTGGTCAACAAAAGCAAGGTTCTGGTGTCTTTCAGTTCCTGCTCTAGATGTGTTAACAGCATAAAAGCAGTGTTCACTTTAAAGCATTCCTGAAGAAGGTTAGGGCCCACTCAAAATACTAATTTATTTTTTCCTTTGAAATGCAAGTGTTGGGCTTAATCCATTCTGAACAGCTTCACAGAATGTTCTAGCAGGAATAATTCTCTTGGAAACATGCATTTTTAAGCAAGCAAACAAATTGTTTAAATAATGTCTAGTGTGTTTGTGCCGTGCTGCCATTGATGCTTCTGCTAAATACTGTCTCCTGTGTGCCTTTATCTATAAGCTTACCTTCTAGGACATGTCAGTGCAGTCAGCATCTGTCAGTTTTGTGGAATTAATCACTTTCGTCTTTTGGGTTTATGTTTTTTAATGCCAGTGCTGAAGCCTAAGATGTTGTTCTTTCAAGGTATTAMAATATCTTTTTTTAAAAACAAACCAACCAACCATACCAAAATTAAGAACTGATTCTCCAGTAAAACAACTCCAGGAATCATAAACCTGCATTCCTTAATGCTGCAGAATTCCCAGGGTTATTCCCCTGCCCACAGAAGCACATTGGTGGGCTCAGATCTTTGGATCACTGGTAAGCTTGTGTGCTATGAGAACGTATGCATGATTTGGCTAAGTATGTGTAAGTAATTGGTAAGACCAATTTCTCATTGTAGAAGGCCCTAGCAAGTGGAAGTTGCTTGGTAAATTCAGTTCTCTAGATGGTACTTTGACATYTTTGTCAAATACATCAGTATGATGTCAATATATTTTTTCAGCTACTTCTGATTCAGCCAGTTTGATTATGCCAGCTGCTTGGAAGAAGTTATTCCTCTTACCTTAAGAGGAGGCTTGCTTTTAATATATGGAACATACACAGAAGATGAAAGCAGTAATTTCTGGCTCTGTGAATTTGTGGCATCACGTTTGTGTCACTTGGCCAAGCATGTTTGTGTCAGGAATTTAAGAGAGACTGTAGCAAGCCTTGTMTCTTGATTCAGTATAATTGTTATTTCTAGAAGCTTTGCTTTCTTGGAGAATGTCAGGTCATACCATGAGTGAAAGGGTCAGAAAACTTGCCATTATGGTGCAAACACAGTGGCAGAATTCTGATTCTAACCCTTTGGTTTGGGTTATTATGGGTTTGAAGCATGTTCTCAGTCCTCACATTTACTTCTGCACACTCTTTTCTTTCACAAAAGAGTGAAAGAGTGCTGGCAGCTGATTTGTAAAACAGGGATAGGACTATTCCCAAAAGACTCATCTGCACTGAAAAGCAGAGGACACCAGATAGAGTATGTCCTGTGTGGCTCAGAGTCTTCTGAAAATAAAGAATAATTCAGTTTGGCACTGCTAAGATACTGCCTCTTGTTGAAGGCAGTGTGATACTTGCAGTGCCTCATTGCCTTGAAGTGTAAGCACTGGATTGTCATTTGCCTCTCGGTCTTACACGCACAAGCAGGGATTGTCAAGCTATGTAAAAGGACTGCCTTTGTTTGCATTTTAAGGAAGGAGTCTATTTTGGAAGAAAACCTCCTAAGCATTWAACAGGTTCTGTATATACACTGCATGAAACTGCCATGGTTGTGAACAGGTAATTGTCTTGTGGATTTCATTTTCCTAACCAAAATGATACTGCAGAATGAAACAAAATTTACC